TAACTCTAAAAATTTACTTACAAAATTATGAAATCTTGCAGAATCAATTAATGTAAATGACTTTTTGGAAGAGAAAATGTAATTCTATATCACAAAATTTGTTCCAATTTTCCAGGGCAAATTGGTTCTCTTTACTTATATGCTAATTGTACAAATTTTTTACTATTTATAAGTTGTATCATAACTTTCCTGTACAAATTTTTTACTTCCTAGTGTTAATTACTTATTTTCTTATTGATGGAGATTACATGTGCCTTTACATAATCATAAAGATCATCCAGATCTTTTTTTGTTTTGTTTTTTGAGTCAGAGTCTCGCTCTGTTGCCCAGGCTGGAGTGGAATGACACAATCACACTTCACTGTAGCCTGCAACTTCTGGGTTCAAGCAATCCTCCTGCTAAGTTAGCCTTCCAAGTAGCTAGGACTGTAAGTGCATGCCACCACACCTGGCTAATTTTTTTTTTTGATAGAGATTAGATCTTGCTATGTTGCCCAGGTTGGTCTCAAACTCCTGGGCTCAAGCAATCCTCCCACCTCCCACCTCCGCCTACCAAAGTGCTAGGAGATTACAGGCATGAGCCACTGCACCCATACCATCCAGATTATTTATTTATTTATTTATTTTTTTGAGTCGGAGTCTCCCTCTGTCGACCAGGCTGGAGTGCAGTGGCACACTCATGGCCATCACAGACTCAACCTGCTAGGCTCAGGTGATCCTTCCGCCTTAGTCTTCCAAGTAGCTAGAACTACAGGCATGCACTATCACACCTGGCTAATTTACTGTTTTATTGTAGAGACGAGGTCCCATCAAGTTGCCCAGGCTGGTCTCAAACACCTGAGCTCAGGCAATCCTCTGGTCTTGGCCTCTCAAAGTGTTGGGATTACAGGCTTTAGCCACCGGGCCCGACCCATGCAGATTCTTAATCATGTTTACTTCCTAAAATAAATCTAACACCTTGAAGATATTCTTATCAGCATCCTCTGATTTTCTATTTTAAATTAAGACACTGCTTTCTAGTCTTGCTATGTAGCTGCCATTCTAAGATTTTCCCTTTCTCTCTCAGGCTAGGTCCACTTTTTAATAGATGACATTTTCTGCATCTTGAATACCTTTCTCATTTTTCTGGAGCACAGTCTCAAGAAATTTACCAAGAGGTTTTAGGAGATCGACTTTCTGTACTGCATATTTAAATATACTATATCTTTATTTTATGCACATAACTTATATTAGGTTGACTAACCCCCATCTCACCTAGATTTTAGAAATGACAACTCAAACATTCAGTATTACTGATGATCTCTGACATCAAAATGATTCTATATCCTTCCTATACAAACAGGAAGATTCAGGACATCTTCTTGTAACCTTAGTGTTTTGAAATGTTGACAGGATATCTAGGCATCCTCTTAAAATTACTGTCTGGTGTTCAATGGGAACTTTTAATCTGAAATTTTGTCCTTCATACTGAGATATTTTCTTCCACCATATCTTTATTTTTTCCCTTTTATTTTCTGTTATTTCTTCAGCACCTCAAAAATCATTTGTAACTTATTTTTTTCTCATTTTTCATCTACCTTTTTGCAAAACATACTAAGAGATTTCAACTTTTTCCAGATTTTTTAATTTATTTTTGTTTTTGGTCTCTGCAACATTTTTTCCTCCTAGAATGGTTTCCTATTTCTACTCCTTTTACATGATAGTAGTTAACTAAAATATCATCCCTCCTTTCTTCTTTGTCTCTTAACAGTACAAGAAAGCTGATGGCTCCTGGAGTGGGAATAGCAGGCTAAGTTTTCATAATGAACATACTACCAGTGAGAAAACCAAAAAATACTTTGATAATTGACTTACAGAGTTTAATTCTGGTCAAGGGTACGACAAAGAGTGAAGACAATAATCAAAAAGCAATGAAGTCTAACAGACACACAGTATTCCTACTTAGGTGGGATGTTGTAACTTATTTCTGTTGCTTTGAAATGAAAATGTGTTGCTTTAAGTATAAGATGGGAGCAAATTCAGTAAGGAGAGAAGGGTAGAAATAAATAAATAATTCTATATTATGTTTCAATTAAAATCCTTAAGACCTTATTTATACAAAGATCATTTAGGTATATAAAGATAATCGCACTTAAACACTGAAGTATTCATTAATATAGTTTGGCACTGGTCACAAAACAGTAGAGATAAGAAAGAGATCCAAGCAATAATACATTTTTAACTTACAACAGACAACATTTTAAACCAGTAGGAAAAGCATATGTTTCTCAGAAAGTGAAGGTACAACTGACTAGCCATTTGGGGGAGAAATAATTCCCTACTGAAAATCTCACATCAATAAATTTCAGATATATTAACAATTTAAGCCAAGCTCAGTGGTTCAGCCTGTAATCCCGTGCTTTGGGAGGCTGAGGTGAGTGGACTGCCTGACCCCGCGGGATCGAGACCCGCCTGGGCAACCTGGCAAGACCTCAGCTCTACAATAAATCAAAAAATTAGCCGGGTGTGGTAGCGTGCACCTGTAGTTACAGTTACTTGGAAGGCTGAGGTGGAAGGATCACTGGAGTTCAGCAGGTCGAGGCTGCGGTGGCTGGGAGCGACCACTGCACTCCAGTCTGGGCGACAGAGTGAGACTCCAACTCAAAAAAAAAAATTTAATTTTTTTGTTTGTTTTTGACTCGGAGTCTCATTCTTGCTGCCCAGGCTGTAGTGCAGTGGCATGCTCATGGCCACCGAAGCCTCAACCTTGTGGGCTTAGGCAATCCTTCTGCCTCAGCCTTCCAAGTAGATGGAACTACAGATGCATGCCACCACACCTGACTAGTTTTGTAATTTATTGTAGAGACGAGTCCTCACCAAGTTGCTCAGGCTGGTCTCAAACCCCTGGGCTCAATCTTCTCACCTCGGCTTCCCAAAGTGCTGGGATTACAGGCTGAGCCACTGTGCCCAGCCAACAATTTAATTTTTTTAAGGCCATAAAAGTACTAGGAAAAAGCCGGGCTCGGTGGCTCAGCCTATAATCCCGTGCCTTTGGGAAGCTGAGGTGAGTGGATTGCCTGAGCCCACGGGTTCAAGTCCCGCCTGGGCACCGAGACCTCATCTTTACAATAAATTAAAAAATCAGCCGGGCGTGATAGCGCATCCCTATAATTCCAGTTACTCGGAAGGCTGAGGTAGAAGGATCGCCGGAGCCCAGCAGGCGAGGCTGCGGTGGCCGGGAGCGGCCACTGCACTCCAGTCTGAGCGACTGAGTGAGACTCCAACTCAAAAAATAAAAAATAAAAAAAGTACTAGGAAAAAAGTCTAATTAAATATTTTTATAATCTTAAGGACTGATGATAAAGAGTTTTTAAGTAAGACTTTAAAGACAGAAATCAGAAAATGAAGACTTCCAGATTTAACTACCTCTGCTTTTTCTTTTTTGGGGGGGCAAATGGGAAACCTTGAACAAAATTAAATGTAAATTAAAAATTCCTAACCTAGAAAAAATAAACTTCCTGCAAACTGTAGAAAAGCTTATATTAAATAAACCTATCACTGAAGAAATACAAACTTAAAACAATGTTATCAATTTCTGCCTATCAGTATGACATTGTTTTAAAAAGTTGTAAAATATCTCTATTAAGAGAATAGAAAACTGGCACTATCCAACTATTTGCATCCACCTCAGTGACTCAGCCTGTAATCCCAGCACTTTGGGAGGCCGAGGTTAAGAGAACTGCCTAAGCCCATGGGTTCAAGACCAGCCCAGGCAACTTGAGACCTTGTCTCTACAATAAAATAAAATAAAAAATTAGCCATGTGTCGTAGCGTGCACCTGTAGTTCCAGCTACTTGGAAGACTGAGGCGGAAAGACCGCTGGACCAGCAGGTCAACGCTGGGGTGGCCCTGAGCACGCCACTGCAATCCAGTGTGGGCGACAGAGTGAGATTCCAATTAAAAAAAAAAAAAATTGGCCAGGCACGGTGGCTCAAGCCTGTAATCCCAGCACTTTGAGAGGCTGAGGTGAGAAGATTGCCTAAGCCCAGGGATTCAAGACCAGCCTGGGTAACTTGGTGAGACCTCGAATCTATAATATGTCAATATGTACAACATGCCCTTCCTCCTGTGCAACAGAGTGAGACTCTGACTCAAAAAAGAAAAAAAAAATCAATGAAATAATATATAACTTGGGTCTACATTCACGTCATATTTTATTCAAAAGAAAAAATAAGATTTTCGGGTGCGGTGGCTCAAGCCTGTAATCCCAGCATTTTGGGAGGCCGAGGCAAGGGGAATGTCTGAGTCCATGAGTTCAGGAACAGCCTGGGCAACTTGGCAAGAGCTCATCTCTATAATAAATCAAAAAATTTATTGTACCACAGCCTGTGGTAGCACGTGCCTGTAGTTCCAGCTACTTGCAAGGCTGAGGCAGAAGGATCACCTGAGCCCAATGGGTCAACGCTAGGATGGCCGTGAACATGCCACTGCACTGTTGCCTGGGCGACAGAGTAAGACTCCAACTCAAAAAAAAAAAAGAAAGAAAAAAAAGAGAGAGAAAGAAAAAATAAGATTTTCTAAAGAGTACATGATACTCAGCTCTGTCACGCCCCTATTTTATGCCCAAATCTCCAATCATGACCAAAGGGTCTTATTGCAAACTTCTAGAAAATCTGATAGATTATACGGGTCATCTGTATTCTTTCCAAGGAACATAAGTCTATGTGTAAGGGTGGGGAGGAGAATACAGAAAATGAATGAAACTCAAAAGTTCAAAGACATTCTGGAAGTCCAAGTAAAAGTATTCTCAGAGAAAAAGAATCAATTTTAAAAAGGTGTTATGTGCATGTGCGTGTGCATATGAAATATGCCAGTCAAAAAGAACATGTGAGAATAATAAGAATTCTCAAAATTCTTAGTAAATCATTGATCAGGATTAAAGTAGGTAATAATATTTTTAAATAACCATGTTTTTCCAAAAAATGATATAGCACTGGTTTATAACTCTCAATTAATACTCACTGTATTCCAGCTTCTTTCTCTTCCTTTTCTCTTTCAAGTGTTCTTCTTCCTCCCTGACACCTTCTTCTTCTTCCCTTGCCTCCTCGCCCAGAGTATCATAAAATATTGGATCTCGATGAGCAGCCTTCTTCTGAAAATGCTTAGCTCTGGATCCCCCTTTAACAAGTACAACTTTTCTTTTCAAGCAAGTACAACCAAACATGCAGTCTGGTCGGCGGCAGTGAGCGGGTTGGCGCTTCTCCAAAGCTAAACTGGAACATACACAACCCAGTCGACAGAAGTCATTGTTGCATGGAGGGGCTCGTTTCCTTATGATTGTGTGGATGGGTTTGGTTTTGAGAGATGCCTAAAGTTAAAGTAGAAAATTGTAATTATATAAATCATCTGCTACACCACCAATTTACAGTCATATATTGGTCTTTCTTCTCTGAGTCTGAGTACTAACAGCTCCAGACTATGAAGACGCAAAGGACAGAACATGAATATAACCAGGGCTATGAGTCATCTGCCATTCTAATACATAACACAGACAAGCAGGTGAATAAATATTCTCATTAATTATAAACAAAATCATCAAGGATGGATTTATTCTCAATATAAATCACACATAATATTCTAAGGCAGGGGTTGACAAACATAAGATCTACAGGCCAGATCCAGCCTGTTTCATAACGTTTCATTGAAATACAACCAGGCTAATTCATGCACATACTGTCCGTGGCACTAAAACAGCAGAGCTGAGTAACTTTAACAAAATGTGTGTAACACCTAAAATATTTACTATCCTGCCCTTTACAGAAAAGTTTGTAGGCACCTGCTTTAGCATAATTAATATAAAAGAAACAGGATAATACAGGAAGAAAAGTCTTTATGAATAATATAATAAAACAATTTGCATTTAGTTCCAACATCCAATGATCTTCAGATCCAAGAATTCAGTCACAGAATTTAAAAATGGAAGGTGGCCGGGGGCACTGGCTCACGCCTATAATCCCAACACTCTGGGAGGACGTGGTGAGAGGACTGCCTAAGCCCACGGGTTTGAGACCAGCCTGGGCAACCTGGTGAGATCTCATCTCTACAATAAACTAAAAAATTAACTGGGTGTGGTGGCACATGCCTGTAGTTCCAGCAACTTGGAAGGCTGAGGGGAAGGATCACCTGAACCCAGCATGTTGAGGCTGCAGTGGCCGTGAGCGTGCTACTGCACTCCAGCCTGGGTGACAGGGACTCCAACTCATTAAAAAAAAAAAAAAAAAAAAAAAGGTAAGGTATAAAAAAAATTCAGCCAGGCATAGTGGTTCATGCCTGTAATCCCGGCATTTTGGGAGGCAGAGGCGAGAGAACTGCCTAATCCCACGTGTTAGAGACCACTCTGGGTAACTTGGCGAGACCTCGTCTCTACAGTAAATCAAAAAATTAGCCAGGCATGGTAGGCACCTGTAGTTTCAGCTACTTAGAAGGCTGAGGCGGAAAGACTGCCTGAACCCAGCAGGTCAAGGCTGTAGTGGCCCTGAGCGTGCCACTGCACTCCAGCCTAGGCAACAGAGTGATACTCTGACTCAAAAAAAAAAAAAGCAGTCTTAGAGGGCCTGAAATATCAGGCTGCTTTTACACAGGAGACTTTATTAAAAAGTGTGATTGTACTGTTTCCCTCTGCTGGCAGGAGGGATCTACACTTGGGTGTCTAGTTGGTAAAGCAGAACCAAAGGGGAAGACATCTCCTGAGTTGTCACAAAAGTAACTAAATGCTTAAAAATTAACTGGTCATCCTGCCAAAAAGGCCTGTTTCCATTTCCCTTCACTAATCTCATCCTTTCTAACCAAGCAGTAATATGATTGCAGAAAACAGCAGATACTTACTTGGGCTGTAAGGAGAGTTGTTAAGGACACATCTGCTCGCTCTTCTGTAATATAGGTTCTTGGTTTTCCTTCCCAAAGTGCACAGTCTTCCAGGTCCATTAGCTTCACCTGAGATTTAGACAAGCCTGGAGGGCGAGTTCCCTGTTGCTGTTGCTGTTGCTGTTGCTGATGGTGTGCCTGCCGCAAACTAATCTGCTTTGGAAATACATTTTCATCTAAAGTTGGCACAACAAAGTTATTCACCTGATTTTCTGAGATGGTGCTTGAAGAATTCTTGGTAACCTTTTCTCCTAGAACCATGTGAGAGTGTCTCTGCTTTGGTGAAACAGGGTATGGTAAAATGGATTTGTAAGATGATTTAGTTCGGCCACTAAAAGTTGCCTGTTTGTTTTGAGACTTTGCCTTTCGAGAGGCAGGGAATACAGAATGAGACTTCAAAGAGTAAGAGGTAGAAGGGGAAATGGTAGATTGCTTCTTTAGTACACTGTCAAGTGTTCTCACATAGCTGGTACTCTTGGTGGGAAGCTGGTATACCACAGGAGATGTGGGAGCATTAGAAGAGAAACCCATGCTTGTTTCCATCAGCTTGCCTTCGTTCTCCAAGTATTCATCTAGCTTGTCGCTACAGAAAGCAGAACGATTTTTCAGTGAACTTTCTGAATTTCCACCTGGAAATAAAAAAAACAAAGGATACTTAAGGAAATCTAGGGCAGATCTTTAGATTTCCAGAAAACATACTTTAAAAGGCCAGGTGGTAGCTTGTTGAGCTACAAGTTGCTAAATCTTCTAAACTATTCCTTCTCAGAAAGAAAAAAATATATACAAAAACCAAGTGAAGAGACTGAATCTCAGATACTAATTACATTAAAATCCACTCTCTAAAATTGTCTTACCATAAATTTTTAAATTACATTATTACTGACACTAATTTTTGCAAAATGCTAACAACAGTAATCAACCTAAGAATCTTCAAGCTTTAACAACTTTTGAAAACTACAGAAACCAGAGATAAGCAAAAAAAACCTAACAGTGTAAAAAAAAAAAAAAAATTATGTCAAAGCAGACCTCAATAAAATCCCAAAATATTATTTAAGAGACTAGGGTACTTGAAGTCTGATACAAAACACTAGAAGAAGGTAAGCCACAAAAAGATAAAATATAGTTTTTAAAAAACAGAAAAATTAAGTTCAGTCATACATTACATTGTTTTTTATGTTTGTTTATTTTTGAGTTGGAGTCTCACTCTGTCACCCAGACTGGAGTGCAGTGGCTGCTCCCG